CCATCATTAAAATTCTAAAAAATTGAGAAAAAATGAAATTGAAAAGAACCCTAAACGTAGTATGCAGTTTTGTTAGGCTTAGAAAAGGCAATTCTGAACAGCTTTCCGAATTGAATTTCATGCATTTTTGGCTGAGTTATGAACATTTGAAAATTAGTTATTTTCCCCAAAAATAAATCGCACCATTTTTGCAAAAATATGTAAGGGGTACCATCATTAAAATTCTAAAAAATTGAGAAAAAAGAAACCTAAACGTATTATGCAGTTTTGTTAGGCTTAGAAAATGCAACTCAGAACAGCTTTCCGAATTGAATTTCATGCATTTTTGGCTGAGTTATGAACATTTGAAAATGCGTTTTTTTCCCAAAATAAATCGCACCATTTTTGCAAAAATATGTAAGGGGTACCATCATTAAAATTCTAAAAAATTGAGAAAAAATGAAATTGAAAAGAACCCTAAACGTAGTATGCAGTTTTGTTAGGCTTAGAAAAGGCAATTCTGAACAGCTTTCCGAATTGAATTTCATGCATTTTTGGCTGTTATGAACCTGAAATTAGTTTCGTTTCTGAAAAATTATCAAAATAAATCGCACCCTTTTTTTAAATTTAATTGCAGCAAGCTGCCAGGAACTGAAAGCGGGTGCCAAAGGCGAGACAAAGAGCGTTGGCAAGGAGGATCAGGACGAGGAGGATCAGAAGTGGACCAAGTGCCACCAAGACCGAGTCGAAACCACTGGGAACGACCTCCGACATTCCCACATGCCTCACCTTTTCTTCTTTTATTTATTTAAAGCTGAAATAAATAATAAACCTTAAAAAATTTGTTATTTTTGAGTTATGAGGAGCATGCGGTTTTTTTTGGGTGGGATAATTTAAACAGGCTCAATGGAAGGGCATTCTTGCGGTGGAAAATGAAAGAAACATCAAAGCAAAATAGCTAGATGAGCATCACTGGCAGTTAGTGAGATGCCATTTTGTCCCAATAATGCAAAATAGCTAGATGAGCATCACTGGCAGTTAGTGAGATTCCATTTTGTCCCAATAATGCAAAATAGCTAGATGAGCATCACTGGCAGTTAGTGAGATGCCATTTTGTCTTTTTGTCCCAATAATGCAAAATAGCTAGATGAGCATCACTGGCAGTTAGTGAGATGCCATTTTGTCCCAATAATGCAAAATAGCTAGATGAGCATCACTGGCAGTTAGTGAGATGCCATTTTGTCCCAATAATGCAAAATAGCTAGATGAGCATCACTGGCAGTTAGTGAGATGCCATTTTGTCCCAATAATGCAAAATAGCTAGATGAGCATCACTGGCAGTTAGTGAGATGTCTTTTTGTCCCAATAATGCAAAATAGCTAGATGAGCATCACTGGCAGTTAGTGAGATGCCATTTTGTCCCAATAATGCAAAATAGCTAGATGAGCATCACTGGCAGTTAGAGAGATGCATTTTGTCCCAATAGAGCATCACTGATGCAGATGAGCATCACTGATGCAGATGAGCATCACTGATACAGATGAGCATCACTGATGCAAGTGAGCAAAACTTTCCAAACTGGGGTAACAGGCGAACAGAAACCAGCAGCAAGAAACTGAAAACTGGTATAAACTGTTATAAAAACATTTGGGCAAAAATAATAATTGGTATAAACTGTTATATTTCATTTTATACATTTATACCTATTTGTTGCCGACAACAACAGCTTATGGCAACAACAACCTTCTTACAACAACATCCCTACAGAAGACCATCCAAATTGCCGACAATTCCATGCAATTTGCCTGTTTCTCAAATTGGGGTAACAAGCGAACAGAAACCAGCAGCAAGCAGCTGAAAACTGGTATAAACTGTTATAAAAAGTCCAAGTTTCGAACCTTATGGGAGCAAGCGAAAGTCAGCGGAGACTCAAACCTAGCTTCTTTCCCAAAATACAACTCTGTGTTGTCTGCTCTCTTCTTTTTTGGACACTTGCTATCCCTCTCTGAGCTGCCTGCATTTTGGGAAAACAGCCGTTACTTTCGCTTGCTCCTAAATGGTTAGAAACTTGGATTTTTTATAACAGTTTTCAGTTGCTTGCTGCTGGTTTCTGTTCGCCTGGTACCCCAATTTGAGAAGCAGGCAAATTGCATGGAAATTTTCGGAAATTTGCATGGTCTAATGAACGCCATTGTAAACATCGACTGTTTGACTGCAATTAATTTTAAAATGTACATATTTGTAATTAACCTTTATTTGTTAATCTTTTTTTTTTTTTTTTTTTTTTTGCACTATATTTAATAAGGCATACGGAGTGCTATTTACCCCTTTGTGACCTTAATATCTAATCATTCTGCCCTAAATCGGGCGCGCCGGCTAACCTTATTGGTTAGCATTTTCACAATTACAAAAATAGCAGTAACATCACAGTACGATTACATTAAGTGTCTTCCTTCACATTCTGGCCATTGTAGGTCGTCTACTTCTGGCCCCAGGCGACCCAAGTGGAGTTTCTGTCCAGTGGCTCTAAAACTGTAAAAATTGAATCTCACTTGGACCAGTGCTTGTCATACTGTAAAAGTGAAGTTGCATTCATCCCCGCCCAAAAGTATGCCTTACTTTATATTTTAATCAAAGACTTAAAAATTCAGCGCAAAAGATGCCACAAAAATGACCAACTTATATTTTAAAATGCCTAAAAGTAGGCAAATAAAAGAAAAATACGTGGACCTGCAATAATCCCCGCCCAAAAGTATGCCTTACTTTATATTTTAATCAAAGACTTAAAAATTCAGCGCAAAAGATGCCACAAAAATGACCAACTTATATTTTAAAATGCCTAAAAGTAGGCAAATAAAAGAAAAATACGTGGACCTGCAATAATCCCCGCCCAAAAGTATGCCTTACTTTATATTTTAATCAAAGACTTAAAAATTCAGCTCAAAAGATGCCACAAAAATGACCAACTTATATTTTAAAATGCCTAAAAGTAGGCAATTTTTTTACTTTTTGATTTAAACCAGAAAAATAAAAGAAAATACGTGGACCTGCAATAATCCCCGCCCAAAAGTATGCCTCACTTTATATTTTAATCAAAGACTTCAAAATTCAGCGCAAAAGATGCCACAAAAATGACCAACTTATATTTTAAAATGCCTAAAAGTAGGCCATTTTTTTACTTTTTGATTTAAACCAGAAAAATAAAAGAAAAATACGTGGACCTGCAATAATCCCCGCCCAAAAGTATGCCTCACTTTATATTTTAATCAAAGACTTCCAAATTCAGCCCAAAAGATGCCACAAAAAATATAGTAGTAAAATAAATAAACATTTTTTGAATGAAAGTTAACGCAACAAGGTTAGGTTAGGTTAGGTTAGGTTAGTTTAAATCATCAGTGTTTAAGTTAAGTTAACTACCTAAGATTCAATTATTTATAGTTAAGATTAAAAAATAATTGAATTATGTTTTAAAAATATAGATATTTGAAATTTATGATTATTTGAAATTTAGTTAAAAAATTATACATAAATACTTTCCATTTAAATAACAAGATACTTTGGGGTTCTGCCTACTTATTATAAAAATAGAAATATTTCTAGTTCATAATACGCATAAATTATTATTATTACTTGATTTCTTTATAAAGGATGCCACTGATACAAGATTTATTTATGTTTGTTTATTATAGTTTTTAAAAAATAAGAGAGATATTTTATTTTATTTTATGTTTTTTATACCCTTGCAATGTGCTATAATTTTAGTCAGAAGCTTAAAAAACAGTGAAGAAATCATTTCCGACCCTATAAATCATATATATTCTTGATCAGCAACAACAGCCCAGTCGATCTGGATATCTGGAAAAGAAAAAAAATTTTACTCAATTTTTTGAAAATTTTATAAGGGGTAACATCATTAAAATTGCTAAAAAATTGAACAAATTTTAAGTGTTTATATTTGTAAATTTGGTTTGCAGATTTGTTAATCTAACAAAATCTAGCATAGAAAAGCTTTTCAAACTGAAATTAATGCATTTTTGGGTTAGTTATAGTTATTTTAAACTTGGGGTTTTCCCCAAAAATGAGCATATTTGATTTCTTTAACAACTTTAACAACTAAATTTAACTTAAAGATTTGTTAAACAAACAAAAACCACCAAAGAAGAGCTTTACAAATTGAAATGAATTTACTTTTGCCAAAGTTAGGATCAATTTAAATTACAAGGATATACATTCTTCGGCTTTCTAAAGTTAGCAATCTTGGTTTATAAATTTTATTAAATTAATTCCCCTAAAAAGCTAGAGTTTTCTGTACTTAAACAGTTATCTGCTCTTATTGTTTCAAATTTAATTACTTAAAAACCCCCTTCAATGATATCAATAAAGTCTTGACTAAACAAATACCCATCCTCTTATAAATTATTTGCTTTAAATACTTTGCCTTTTTGTATGTTTTCATTTTATTGTTTATGCATGTTTGTGCCAGACAATATATTATTGTTATGCACAGAATTTGTTGAGTAGCTGCTCGGCATGGATATAGACAGTGCCATAAATTGACGTCTATATCGGAGCTTTGTGGACATGTGTACCCAGTACATACATATATATATCCAAATCTATATATAATATATACGTATATTCATAGAAAGAAAAATATTTACCGAATCACATTTGGGCCGTGCATTCGATGCCGTTTGTGTGTTTTTTTAATTTTTTTCAAAGGCGGCTGCGTTGTCAGTCAATGTAGCCAAATTAACAACCGAATTGTTGAGTCTTCTTGGCTTCGTTCGTGTCCCCAAAAAGATGTTGGCTTTAACCGAAAGAGAGAATGTCAGGCACTTTAAAAATAGCCAGGCTAATGATCGAAGCTAGCGTATTGCTGGACAGCGCTGCGCATTTTGAGAAATACGAAATGAGATTTATGGATCGCGGTACGTGGTTGTGCCAGAAAATCATAAAAGAAGCCCAGCCATCTATCAATCAGAAAAGGCCATTACTAATTAATAGATTGTTAGCGGCTAAGCAGGCTTTTGGCCTCTCAGTCTTTATTTGTAAACAAAATTTTGAAACACCTCAGTAGGAGGCAGCCTTAAAATGCCGCCAAAAAAACAGGGCAAAGGAGCCGCGAAAAAGAAAAAGGAGGTGGACTGGGCCTCTGATGAGCATTTCACCAAGGATCGCTCCATGATCTACATTGAGCATACCCTCGAGTGTCCCATTTTCCAGACCAAGGCCGATGAGTGCTGCACCTTTCTGACGCAGAGGTTTCCGGAGCGCAAGTTCCAGCTGGTGAAGAACAAGTACGGACGCCTTATACCTCGGGATGGAGCCTTCGAGATTGGTTTCTCCCAGAATGCCCGCACCTCCGTTCACCTAATCTGGTCGGGTCTGGATAAGGGTCCCCCTCGAAGGGACAAGTTCCCCAGTGATTATGAAGCCATCGTTCCCGATGTGCAGAGGGTTCTCAAGAAATTCTATCCCGACAAGGCAGTGGGCCTGAGCGATGAGGAGGATGCAGACGAGAACAAGGAACAAGAAATGTAAAATTCATCGTTATACATTTTAAGTTTACCATAACAATGGCTAATCCGAAAGCAAAAGTAAACAATCAGCCAAGAAAAACCTGTTGGGGAGACGTCATCATCAGCATCCCCCAACACGTGAAAGTGTTGTGCGAAATTGCTCTTATTGTTGCCTGCCATCACAACACATCAACATTTGACAGCTCTTTTCACCGGCTAAACGCTTAAATCGACCAGAATAATTAACCAAATACAATACTCGCACATCAGCAGTCACCGCAGATATGGTGCAGAATATGTATCTATATGTTGGTGTGCCCTGGGGGGGACATTAGCGACGTCCCATTGTCTGCCAGTGAAATCAAAGTGCCAGAATCGGGGTATATAGTAGGGGGTATAGGGGGTATGCTGGTGGCACTATTTCGCTCTCTCAGTGTTGACACAACAAATAACCGAAACACTCACACTATAGCAAACGAATAATCCATAGAATTTGAATTGAAAGTTAAATTTAAAACAATACAGATGCAAATTGAAGAGCTAAGGCAGCGGATGAATACTCTTACTACATGAAAAATTTAATATTTTGATAGTATAAAATCATAAAAGCTTGATAAAAAATATAAATAAATAATTTAACTTGTAGAACGTAGGGTTTTTAAGTTTTAAGTATAAAAAATATGTTTTTAAACTACCAAAAAGAATAAACAAATATATTAAATAAAGAAAATTCAAGTTTCTAAGGTCCAGAATATGTTACATATATTTTAAAAATAAACAGAAATGAATGAAATAAATAATTCAAATTTATAAGCTTTAAACAATGATCATATTTTCTATTAAAGAATTTTAGAGAGTTTCTAATAGTTCTCTAAATGAACAAAACCAAATTAATACTATTATTTTATTATTATTAAACATTAATTACTCAATCAACTAGCTAACCCCTAACCCAGGGTATATTCCCCTAAAAAAAACTGACTAACCAAAAATCCCTATATATTGCGGATAAATTTGAAAATTGCAATGTGGCAAGAGCAAAAATAAAAAAGAAGGAATAAATAAATTGGCCAACCAAAATAACAGCAAACAACAAACGACTAGGGCCAGCTGAAATTTCCCCATTGCAAACTATGCGTTCTCCTCCCCTCCCCGAAAGCCAACAAGTCGTGAAAATCCAGACCAAATTACATTGCGGGCCAACAACCAACATCCAATGACAATAACAAATACAGCAGGCAGTGGGATGCGGAATGGCCCTTGGGACTTGGGTACTATTCCGACATTAAAACTACAATCGCAGCGGGGAAAACAACAGAACTAGCCGTATCCATTCCCCCCCCCAGTTAGATGATAATAATCATCATCTGTATGCTGTGTCTGTGTGAAAATGTGGAAATGCTGACTCTGGCCAGAGTTTTCCTTTGCCTTTGCCTGGGTTCTGCATGCAAATTAGACTCGCTTGCAGATGGCTTTTTGATTGACTGTTATGCTGGCCGACTTGCAGTCATGTTTCTCTGCACTAATTTGAATATCACGTATACGCCACGTTGAGCAAGGGAACTCGGTTTAAGCTTGACCAAAGCACAAGAGAAAAAAATGTATGTAATAAAGCCAGACAAAGGCATGAGGATAAAGCCAACTTTTAGCATATTTTGCAACATCCGTGCCGCGCACATCATTAATATTAATAAAAGGCTGTAAAAAATGGAGGCAGAGGTAGAGGCAGCAGCCAAAAATACATCATAAAATGCGGAATGAGTGAGCGACAGAAAGACATTTTCCCCCGCGACATCAGTAAAGTGAGGAGAAAAGCGGGCCAATGATTTCCACAGACTTTTTATTATGCCCCGCTCGCGCACAAAGAAATGTCAACGGAACATTTTCTCTCGTGTCACAATTTATATATTGGGCTAGCGTCTGGGGAAATGGGTTAATGTCCAGCCCAAAAGAGTGGCCATGGAAGTGGAACGGGAACAAGGATGGATACGGGGACTAGAGGTAGCTGAGGCACTGGATCCTGGGCCCCATCCGCATGTGGCAGCTGTCAGCTGGGATATCGAAGGGGAAACCGCACACGCCAAGGACAACGCAGGACGACTGCCAAGAGCCAAGTAAAAGGAGCTTTAATGGAAACAGACCGCAACATTTTGCATTAGAGCTTGCGAGAGTGTGCGAGCGCCAAGTCTGGTGGAGGGAGAGTGGGCGTTGTCCTTTGCCAAAAAAAAAGAAAGAAAAGAAATAGAAAAAACTCCTTTTGGCAGTTGCACTGAATTCCTAGGCTGATGTAAAAATAATCTACGCAGTCTAAATAAAATAAGACCCCAAAGCGTAGTTATTTTTGAATTGCAATACACAAATACCAGCTCCACTTCCTTTCCGGTTCCTGCTCCTGTGCTCTCCATTCAGGGCACGTTCGGCATCCCATCTATCGCTCTATCTTTGCCACAGCCCATATCCAATAACCCCCAGTTCCTAGCTACCATACACCAAGATACCCATCTGTGATCCGTGGGGGTGCAACAAATTGCAGCCGGATTTAAGGGCAATTTATTTACAAGCGATGCGATGCGATGCGAAGGCGAATGGCAAATGCCAGAAGCTGCCATTTTAGGCTTTGGCATTTGTTTTATCGCGCCTAGTCGAGGTCGTGCACTAGGAGAAAAAGTTTACTATGATTTTCAAAGAGGTTTTTAGTTTCAAAATACATTTGGAAAATGAGAAAATAAGATAAAGTTAACGTTTTTTGTATAATAAATTGTATTTTGAAGGAATTTTTTGTGTTTAAAATTCAATTTTTTATAAGAAAAAGTATTTAAAGTTTATTTATATAAATATAAGTATGATTATAGATTTTTTAAAATTATTTCTTAATAGAAACATAATATTTTTAGGCATTCAAAATATATTTTTAAATTTAAAAACCATTTTTTAACTTCTAAAAAGGTTATTTTTAATCAAGAAATATTTTAAAATACGTAAAACATTTCTTTCTTGATCAAAAAATGCCTAAACAGGATATTGATGAGTAAGAGGTGGCTGCTTGCCAGGAGAATATCATACCTTTCTCCTTGTTTTTGAAGAGATTAATATTTTTCTATTAAATTATTTCCCTATAAAAAGATAATTTTCCTCACCTCAAAACTCTGGTAAAGCCAAGACAAATTTCTTGGTACTTGAATTAAATAGAAATTTTTTCTCTTTGTGCACCCATAAGGGCGTACGAGTGCTAACCCGGCGAAATCCCCTTTTAATGAGCCGCCCGGATTGGCCTTTGGCTGATTGCACGCCTAACTGGTCTGCAGATTGCATTTGTCACACCTTAATTAACCAGTCGCTGCTCCTGCGATATATGGATGGAAAGGTCAGGCAGCCTGTCGGCCTGCTTTCTTTTTTTCCCCATTTTCTACGCCCTCATGAACTTTAACCTATTTCCCACCGATGAAAACGAGATTTTATTTACATGCGTGGCCGTCATAAAAGGTTCGGTTTTCCCCACAGCTTTCTGCACCGAAGATGATGATGATGAAGCCACAACCAGACGGAGTCTGAGGAGCTGGCTAATTAAGCGGAAATTGGCAGCAGGAAAATGGGGTGCCCAACTCCTCCGAGGGGAGCTGCATCAAACGCCAGGACCTTGAGCTCGCGCCCACATTGTTACTTTGGATATTAACATGAAATTAGTTTTTGGTTAAACACTAATTAAAATGTACGACACCTGTTTGTTTAGAGAATATTTGAGCTGTAGCTACCGGAAGATCCCCTGACGCCTGACTTAAGCTGAACATTAAAATGGGTAATCAGAGGATCAAGCCAAAAAATAATAAAGCTTAAACTTCAGGGGGGTTTGTTTGGGTTTATTTTGTTGAGGATAAGGAATAGGGGTATTTAGGAAATATTTTAGTTTATATATTGAGTTGGAAAAGGTTTTTTAGGTGGACTTTTAAATTATTCAATAATTTAGTTAACAACTGAAAGCAATTGTGCTCAATGCACCCTTCAAAAATTAATATAAAATGCATCCAATAAAAATGAAATAAAGCTTGATCGAATTAAGGAACAAAATAATTAAACAAAAATTCTTTTGTGGCCCAGAAAAAATCTGGCAAATAAAAGTCACCATTATCCCCACTTTTCATTCTATAAATATTCGAATATTCAGAGGCTGCATGGAACGCGTAATTGCTGTAAGAAATGATCTGAAATGCAAAAAGGCAATTTTACCTGATGTCTGGCAGCCAGGCAGCCAATCGCTTTTCACAATTTTCCCGCAATAATTCTTATGGGAATAATTGGTCTGCCGTTCCAAATGAAATGTACAAAGAACAGTGTGTGTTTTTTTTTTATACTGACTGAGGCTTCGTTTTTATTTAATTTTTACATATACTTTTGTTGTTGTCATATGTATATATATAATCTCATAAATTAGTTTGTTGTGTATATATATATATAGAGATTTTTGTTGGTAATACATTTTTTCCTTATGCCGCAAACGCATATAATTAAATTTCAATATTAATAATTGTATTGGTTTTTTTATTACGGGTTTCTGTGTGTATTTTAGGGTTTCTATTTGTTTTGGGATTTAATTTTTTTGTCGTTACTTGAACTCGTTTCCAGCTTGTTTTTTGGTTCACCAGTTTGGAAATATATATTATCTATATATATAGTCGTGGGCAAACTGAAGTAGGTTTAATTTATAACCATATATATACCACATGTACACATCTATACATATATATATATATCTGGTAGTTGTTGCTACTGATGGTGGTGTCCTCCTGGCACATACTATATAATCCATATATATTCCACACCCTCGCTGGAAGGAATCCTCCTAGCATTGCCTTGCCTTCTCATTTACATTATACATTTATAACCATAATAATAATTTACAAGTTAAATGGCTTAGAAATTATTAGTAGGACTTCCTGCGTGGGTTACCATACATAAAACACTTTCTAATTAAAGTTAAAAACATCTTTTCCTCGGTCGCCGTTTCATCTGTGTGTGTGTTTTGTGTGTCTCCTGTTGTTTGGTCTATTTACATAGTGACAATTTCTAAATTACTTAGACTCTGCTAGACTTCTTGTTTCATCTTCGTTTCTATCATCTTTTTGTTCTTTATTTACATTGCGTCAGTTGAATAAAATGTTTCGCAGACTTTTCTTGATTTTTGCCTTTAATTTATAATTTGGTTAACAAAAGAACGTTAAAGGAAACTCCCTCTCTTGGGTTTTCGTATAGTTTTTTAAACACGTTTTAGAACTAATTTAGTTAAAA